TGTGGAGAAAATCATTTCCAGGAACGGTCTAAGGAACAACATGAAAGTGGACACAATGTCCATTTTCTTTACTACACTAGTCCCCTCTTATCTGTCATTTCACTTTGCACACTTTCCATTACCTAAGGTACAGTACAATAAGATTCTTTGAGAGAGGGAATCACAATGACAACTTTTATTATAGTATATTGTTGTAATTGTTCTCTTTTATTTTTCATTGTTGTTAATCTCTTATTATGCCTAATTTATAAATTAAACTTTATCACAGGTATGTATGTATAGGAAAACACATCATATACATAGGGTTTAGTACTATCTGTGGTTTCAGGCATCCACTGGGGGGCTTGGAACATATCCTGTACAAATAAGGGGGGAACTACTGTATTCTATATTTAATGCCTGCAACAGTGCCTAACACATAGGAGGTACTCAAATATTTTATGATGAACTAATGTCTATTGGCATGTATACTAATGTCTGTATAAGCAATTATTTATACTGAAAATTTCAGAAATTAATGCATTTCCATAATGTATAGCACTGTCAGTACCAAGTAATAAAAAGATATACAAAGAGCAGCCTGATACCTCTGAAAGCCTCTAAAGAAAATGGTCATGATTTAAACTGAATCTCAGAGGTTTAAAAACATGCAGTGAATGCATGGCCTGACAGTTAAACTGGATGAAGGCAATTCACTCAAATGAGATGGATTATGGTTTTCAGTCTCTGAACTAGCACACTGTCTTTTCACTTGAAGCTGATTCTATTCCTTTTGAGGACACAGAGCTGTCACCCATAAACGTTGAGTATATTGGGAAGAGTATAGTGCCAGTCAGGCTGCCTGACCCTGAGTGCTGTGCCTGCTACTGTATAACTGTGTGACCTGTGGTAAATTACTTAAATTTTCAGAGCCTTGGCTCTCACGGATTTACTGAGAACTTCCTTATAAGGCTTCTGGAGAAACACAGAGAAAATACATGTAGTAGTGCTAGTATAGTGCCTGAACAGAGAACACATGCAATGAAGTTTAGCTGTCATTATTACTGATATTATTATTTGCTATTGACATAGGGGAGAAAGAGAATATTTAAATTTAGTATTCCCAATGACTATCACCCATCAAAGAAAAAGATAAAAATATACATTAATAAGACCTGGGTTCTTTCTATTCACAATCCAAAAAGGCAAATCAATAAAAGTTCTAAAAACAGAGAGGTGAACTTTTAAAATGGAAATAGCCTAAAGGGTTTTTCTTTAAATATTATTTATGTGTATCAACCAAGTTTGAATGGGTAATGCCAATTGCTCACATGAATCATCTCCTTCAATTTGATTCATTTCCATTTCACAAGAAAGTTACGAATGTAATCTGAAACATGGTAACGTGTTTTTTTCCTCAAGTGTCTTTCAGCTATTCCTTCACTTAACTGACCCTGTATCCACTCTACTTCCTTTTAATATGTTTTATGACTGATAAAATATCAAAAAGACTTTTGTGCAAGATAATGCTTTATCTCTATGATTATATATAATTATAGCTTTCTTAGAGAAAGAATTAAATATAAATATAGACTTTTTCCATTATCCACAGGCAGTTTATTTAAAAGTTAGGTTTCTAAATGTGCATTAAATAGGCATTTGCATTCAAATGTAAGTAAAAAGTACTTCAGGGACAAACATAAATGATTCTGGATAAATCATTGTTTTAGTTTGTATTGGACACCATTGCCCTCCATTGTAGATAATTGAATTGGCAGCATCAGCAAGTACTGATAATGAAGGCAATCATTCTTTAAAATCTTAAATCAGAGAGAAGAAGTTTTTTAAAAGACAAAAATTCATAAGACCATACACAAAACTCAAAAACTATACAAGCTTCTTCATTACACTAAAGCCAACATATTTCTCACAACATAGAATGTACTCTTTTCATTTTCTCCAATACCATCAGGAGCTGATACTTGGTCCCAAGTGAAAAGATGAAGGCTTGGGACCTTTCTGAGACTTATTCACAGAACATTTCTGCCTTTTAATGTCAGCCGTGAAGTTGCTGGCATTGCTAACAAGAGCTACCAAAGATAAAGCAGGGTCACAGTTCTACAATGTGACTGTAATTGCACACAACCAAGTACAAGAATTCTAAATGGGACCGATTACTCGTTGGCTGCAGGTTGGTTTCCTTGGGAAGCCAACCCTGAGAGAGAGTTTAGAGGGTGTCATGTGTATTAAGGAGAGGTTTTGGGGTCATTGCCTGTGAAAGGGAATGTAAGGAAGCAGGAGTGAACAAAGGGAGAACACAAGCTGTGATGCAGGTCGGACTTCAGCAGGCCCCAGTGGGAGCTAGAGTGGTCCTTAATTGAACTGAGTTGGACTGAGATGGCCAGGCATAAAATACAATCACACTGATCAGTTGTTGGATGTGGCCTACCCCATGAAAGGCGTGACCTTGGGTCAACCAGCTTTCTGTAGCTGAGGAAATTCCCTTAGGGATTGACAGTTGTCCGTCAGTAGCCCTCCCAGGAGCTGAGACAACAAGTTCTTCACTGAAGGATGTGGGGATGGCATGTCAGTGTCACACATCCTTTAATACTTCCAAAGTTAGATAGTCCTCTTATGATGATTCCTAATAGATCTACCAGAAACAGGTGTAGGGAGCCCACCCATAGTCTCTGCTTCCCATCAGAGACGACTGAATTGAAGCCACCCACTTCAGTGCCGATGAGCAGTCGCCTCTGCTGGAATCACCCCAATTGCTGGTGACTTCTCCTAGCATCTTGGGTGGGAGTATCAAATCCAGGAAATGATAATGAAAAAGAAACTAAGTTTGTACAGCTTTTAATACTTCAGCAAAGAAAATCATTTGTTTCTTACATGATCTAATTCTAACTCTGTAGGAATTACATTATTTATTATTTTATTTTTCCAAAGGGAACATCTGCAGCAGTCAATAACTTGGGATAATTCTTAATTTTCTTGCCTACATTTAGAGCCAAAAATAACCGGGTCCCTGAAACGGTGGCTACTTTATCTTTCAAGATATAGGCCAGTGACTATTTTACCACATAATCAGCATGCTTCTAAACTTTTCATCTGATATTTAAATGAAAACAAGAGATAATCAGTACTGAAAGTCATCTTCAATCTGTTATCTTGCCTCTTCAATTCTAAAGCAAGGTTGTTTTGGAAATTGGTCTTCTATAAGGTACCATCTGAGAGTGTCAAGTGTTAAATAATTAAATACAAAAATAGCATATATTGTTGCCAATCAGTAGGGGCTTTAATTTGCTTTTTGTTGCAAAAGGCATGATACTCTCCAAATGGAACATGCAATCAGCCCTCGGCAGGACTACCACCAGTAACCAGTATTGTTTGACTCTGTCACACTTGAGGACCATCCCACAGGCTGAGCCAATCACTTGATGTTCAATGAAACTTAACAATAAAACACACCACAATAAAAGTGTCCACTGAAAGCATCACAACATATAACTATAAGCTGTTCCATATTTTGTAGGCTTTCTAAAATGAAAAACCTTGACCTGTTTTTTCTCAAATGGGCTTACTGGCACTTGATAGTCTTTCCATTCCTACCCTCGTTTGGCAAGAAACACAGTAAGAAATTGTCCCATGACAGAGAGAAATGGCAGGAGACCATAAAATAAAAGTGTCTTTGATTTCTGTAAACATGAATTGTGTCTAGCTTGGCCTTATGTGGTTTTGAAAGGATAGACAAAGAAAAAGCAAGGCATACTTTTTCCTTCTGGGAAAGACAGAAAAACTGTCAGCTTTTTTGTGTGTGTGCAAAAGAATTATTTGGTAGTTTTTCTTGTCAGATGTTTCGTTTGTTTTTACAGTAAAGACGGTGATAACCCATTGCTACACTTAAGAAGAATCATGTTAACATGGAACCATATTTTCAAAATTAACAGGTCTGGAAAATATGGCTCTTAACTTAAAGTAGCAATGGAATATCATTAATCCCTGATTTTACATCTAAATGTTCTAGCTATAAGGATGAATGTGTTTATTAACCCAATGGGTAAAATCTACCCAGGCACAAAAGTAGACTGATTTATTTCAAACATCTTAATTCACTTCTCACAATAATAATCTGTAAAAGAGAAACTAAATAGGCATTGGCATAATCTATGTAAAGTTCACATGATAAAATTTTATAGTTATTTGGGAGACAGAAATATTAATATAAAGGAAGATTCTCCAGATGTGAAAAAGTTATCTTTTATGAAAGACATTAATTTCAAGCAGTTTCTTCATGTCTCTTAGATCTGTTAACCCACACAAAGGAAGAGACAATTAATGTATATACCCCATTTGAATTTGAAAAGTACAAAGCTCACCCCTCTCCATTCATTTGCCTTCTTAAAAGGAGGCAATAGTGATCTCTTTAAGATCTCAGGATTGTGTCAAGAATATGTAAGTAGCAAACCATCTTTTAAAAAAGTCTGCATTTCCTTTCCTTCCACTCCAAGAAAATGGATGGAAGATATCTTTGGGGACTTCAGTTCTCTTAACACCATATTCTATTCTTAGGGTAACTTGGAAAAGCAATAATAAAAATATCCTGTGCACAAAGGTTTCTGGGAAAAATACTGTGGTTTTGCTAAGGCATCCTTCTGTCACACAGAGAATGTTTAAATGATGGTGATGGACTTCATGAACATCTTTTTCATTTACGGCTTTATCCCTGAAGATCTGCAAAATGTTTCAAGATGTCACTCGTTCTCCCCGAAGAGTTTCTTGTGGGAGAGTGGTGTAGTGGGGTACATGTTTTCATACTATGAGTTCTGCCAAATCCTGAGTCTAAGCTTCACTGAAAGCGATCCTTGGAGATGTCTTTGGTAGACAGCTCTCCCCTCTTCACCTCCTGCTCCAGTGCTGTCTGTGAAATAAACAATGCAGCAGAGCAGTTGAGCCTGCTTGGATCTGGAAGTCTTGATTATGTGTCACTTTTGATTGATATCATGACAATATCATAGCCCTCCTTGCAGAGCAGAGAAAATCAGGGTTATAGATGCTTAATTTTCAGAGATTTTATTAGAGGGAGGGAACTACAAGTATCAAGGCAAGAAATTACAACACTGGAATTATTCTATAGAAAGCAAGTAATTATGAATGTCAGGACTAGAATGCCTTTGTGAAAGGGATTTTCATGACAAATGTAGGCAAATGGCAGATTCTCTTCCTGACATCAAGTGGCAGTGTTCTTACATCTAATGGCATATGCTTCCTTTCTGCCAGGGACCAATTATTCTGTCACAACAGACTGGAAGCCTTCAGCAGGTGACATCATGTCCTTGGAGCTTCAGTGTCTCACAATTGCTAGTACCAGCTTGATGTGAATGACAGCCATGGAAGGGAAGGCAGAGTCCTTGCCAGTACACCTGCTGTTTTGTTGAATAATAAGGGAAAAGTCAGCCAATACCCGATACTCTCTTGTTTTCAGGCAGTAAACAAACCTGATATTACCACAGTTTGTTATGTGAGTAGTGACATCGACTGTATGGAGTTAGTGCCACCTTAGTTCTTAAATCTGAATACCAATACTAATTCCTAAGATTTGCATGAATTGTATATCATATATGTTATCTCAGTTTTTCTTCACCACAACCCTGTGATGTAATTATGCTATGATAGTGCTTCTCTGTGAATTGAGGTTGCATGGGAGGGTATAAATACAAGAGAAGATGTGTGGGAGGATGGGCAGGTGAGTCAATGTAGGAAATAACTAAAAAATAACTCAAAAAGTAAAATCAACAAACTACAATAATTCACAACAAGAAAATAAATCTGGTGAATGTTTATATTAATTATATTTCATTTTAAAACACATTTCCCATTTCATTATGTTTTCACTTGTGCCTAAGTATAGCACTTAAGCACTGTCTTATGCTCTGGAGGGACTTCTCAGCTCCTGGCTTCAAAGAAAAGGATGAGTTCCTATAACGTGTGATTCTTTATATTACACAAGCAAAAAGAAAGGAGGAGAAAGTAAACTTCATTTGCATTATGTGCCACTTTTATAGACCATGTTCTGGTCCAAAGGTAAATTGGAGGATTTACTCCATATACATTTTTCTGTATAAAAGTTATGTTTCAAGCTTCATATGAAACTGGATTTAAATGACACACCCTGTGGATAACAAGTGCTAGAAGATCTTTCAACTCCTTACCCTGCAATGTGTCTGTAATGGTTGGTAAACTGTAATAGGATTGCTATTCACTGTGGACATAGGCAAGAAAGCTATTGTTTTATTTGATGAAACAAAAAGCCCCTAGCTAAAATCTAGGGTCTCATTACATGCACAAGGGAATTGACACCAGAAAGCATTCCCCTTGGAACACCATGGGTTAACAGTTTAATTAAGCCAGTGATCAGGTAACAAGAAATCTTGACAACATTATGAATTTGGAAGTAAGAACTAACCTTGCCAAGCAATGGTCAAAGCTAATAAATGCCATGTTGGCTCTTTTCTAAAAAGTATTTTATTTTTGTGGGTAAACCTTACCAGCTTTTATGTTGAAACAATGTTCAGTAGCATTTTTTCCTGTCAAAAAAATCTGCATTCTTCTGTTAATGTTAGATTTAAAAAATCTAACAATTTTTAAAATTATTTCAATCAGGAAGTCTGAAACCAACACAGCAATTCAAAAAGTAATGTCAGCATTTAAAACTAATAATGCAACTGCAGAGCTAAGGAAGAAAAATAAATAAATGATCCGACATTGGTTGAATTCCCACTAGATGCCTGCTACTTTACATGTATTTTATCACAATAATCCTATAAAATAGGCAGTAGTATCACCGTTTTACAGATGAGGCAACAGTGACTTTGAGAGGTTAAGTCATTTGCCCAATTGGGTAGAAATGAGTTGCTTCTGTTGCTCCTGGAAAGTTGTTTTTATCTTTCAAAAATAACTAGACATTTAAATGGAAATGTGGTAAGGGCCAAAATTCATCTGTATTTCAGCACTGGAAACACTTATCCAATAAAACGTTCTTTATATACCAATCTCTTTCTGGAATACACACATGTGTTTTACCCATTTTTAAGTAATTGAAATAGAAGCAAAGATTAAATCAGGGGTCCCCAACCTTTATGGCACCAGGGACCAGTTTTGTGGAGGACAATTTTTCCATGAACCTGTGCGGAGAGATGGTTTTGAGATGATTCAAGCTCATTAAATTTATTGTGCAGTTTATTTCTATTACATTGTAATATATAATAAAATAATTATATGACTCATCCTAATGTAGAATCAGTGGGAGCCCTGAGCTTATTTTCCTGCAACTAGACAGTCCAATCTGGGGTTGATGGAAGACAGTGACAGATCATCAGACATCAGATTCTCAGAAGGAACATACAACCTAGATCTCTTGCATGCGCAGTTCACGATAGGGTTCTCGCTCCTATGAGAATCTAATGGTGCCGCTGATCTGACAGGAGGGAGTTCAGGCGATAATGTGGGTGATGGGGAACAGCTGTAAATACAGATGAAGCTTCATTCACTCACCCAGCACTCAACTCCAGCTGTGTGGCCCAGTTCCTAGCTGTGCAGCCCATTTGTAATACAACATGTGGGGTTGGGGATCCCTGGATTAAATGAATATTTAAAGATTTTACAGGTCTTTCAGAATAAGACTGGGAATCATCAATTCTGGCTCTAAATCTTCTAAATCCATTCTATTGAGGTGAGTTTGTATCTACTTCAATAGCAATTGACTTGGTAGAAAAGGAAGGATAATAAACCATACTTTGTTATAACATGGCACTACCAGGGTAGAACTTTAAACCTACTACTTGTACAAATACTCTGGGCATTGCAGAAATGTTAGCACATGTGAACCTACATGTACTAAGATAGAAAGTTCTCAACTATAATAGCTCCCATCTGATACTCAGATATTCTCCTTAAATAGCATTCATTAAGAAGTTTCTGGCAACTGATCTCGTCAAAATGTTTCCTATAGACAATGTTTTCTTACAATTTCACTGGACTTTGAGCCAAGTTCTTCCCTGCGCATTGAATTAATATATGTACATATGTCAATCAACTTCAAGCAAAAGAGTTATGCCTACTTTCTTCATCATAGTTTCCATGGAGAAGACAGTACACTCCAAAGTGAAGTGAGTGGACCCCGGAAACAAACTACAAACTTCTACAACTCCCTAGTTCTATGGCTTCAGAAGTGTAATACAATTATGTCTGTGTTTCAATGTACTTAAATGTAAGAGAGAATTATTATAATAAACAATCACACCTAAAAGAGCTGTTTTGAAAGTTAAATAATATTTGTAATAGCTCAAATACCATCTGCATCAGTATTAGGTACATCTAATAGCATCTAGTGCTAACATAAACACTTACAAAAGTTAGTCATCGTTAACCACTCTAGGACTTCCAACAAACTTTTTAGCTTCCTATGGGCTACCAAAAAATCATTCTCCAGACTGCAGTGAGTGAGCTCTTGTAATTCCGGATGCTTGCTTGTTTTTCTATGGAGGTGACATTCACTACCTAAATCTTTTTTTTTTTTTTTTTTGAGACGGAGTCTCACTCTTATTACCCTGGCTGGAGTGCAATGGCGCAATCTTGGCTCACTGCAACCTCTACCTCCTGGGCTCAAGCGATTCTCCTGCCTCAATCTTCCAAGTAGCTGGGATTTCAGGAGCCCACCACCACACCTGGCTAATTTTTGTATTCTTAGTAGAGACAGGGTTCCACCATGTTGGCCAGGCTGGTCTCAAACTCCTGGGAGGCCGAGGTGAGCAGAGCACTACTTAAAACTTTTAAACAATTCTTCATTGTTCTCAGAATTAATTTCAAGTGGTTTAGCTAGCTTAACAAAGTCCTTAAAGTTCAGGCCCTTTCTAACCTTTCCAACTTCTTCACCTTTCTCAAAAGTGCAATGTCAAATCTCCAACATATATATGTGCACATGCACACAAGCACACACACACACACGCTCATAATCTCCCTCATGTGTCCTCTAACCAGATTACTTGCAGCTCTCTAATTTCTCGGTTTTTAAATTCCTCTTTCCTTTTTGAACCTCTAGGCTTTCCTGGAAAATACTCCCTTCTCCTCTAACTCCCCGTTACTTTCCTTGGCTAATTATATCTTGTCTTCACTTTTCTGGAAAAAAAAATGTCTGAAATATTGAGTTAGGATTCCCTCTTTTGTACCTATTCATATCTCACTATTTACCATACATGTTCTATTATTACCAATTTTCTTGCCTGTCTGATCTATTAAACTCAAAGGCCCTTGAGAGCAAGTAAAATTTGCTATTTTTACTTGCATTCCTATAGCCAGCCAGCTGAGTATTTGTATAATGATTAATTTGGGAATACGAGCCCTACAAGAAATGTAGGAAAGATGTATTCCAGGAAAATTCTGGAGCCTCATAAGCTCATGTTCTACAACCTGCCTCAATGGAAAGGATTTAGACCCAACACAGTTTGGCGTTAATTCTGCAACATATGGAAGAGAGTGAAAAAGAACTCCATACTATTCCTGTCTTGACTAATAAATCACTCTCTAGCTTATCACAGCAAAGAGCCACCATATTTTGATGTTTCACTGTAACACATCTATAATAGATCTAGTGGTAGATACTGAAAAGTGAGAGAAAAGTGTTCCTGGAATCAAAGGATTCAGAAAAAAAAAATGATATCCAGAAGTCACACAGTCCAGTATTCTGACTTTATTTGGGATGTGGCTAAAATAGGCTAAACCGAGTATCTACCTTAGAAAGTCTCTTAGAGAGTTCAATAAATATAACTACTAGGGTGCCAGTGCATCTAATTTAAATACGACAAATTCAGTCCCTTTGTTCAGTCTTAAAGGAGGTAAAATAAAATACTAGGCCATCATCATCCTTTATACCCCTGCTATTTGAAGTTTTGTCCAAGGATAACTGGCATTGGCTTTCCTGTCCTGCCTCAGACCTACTGAATCATAATCAGAAGGAAGTTACACTTACAGGTAATGTAGGTACATGTGCACTGTGGTTTACTGTACAAATCAGTATATCTTCCCTTATATGTAATATAGCAATATGTATGGGGGTGTAATATGTCTGTACATTATGGATAAGTGGTCAATTATAATATTACCATACTATGCAGACACTAAAATCATGTTTATAGAGGGGAAAATGTTTTGACATAGGTAATACTTATATCACAATGTTAACTGAGAAAAAAAAGGCTACATGAGTTACATACATCCTAATCTACGCTTTTAGAGTTTTGAGTATGTGCAAATAGAACAAAAGCTGGAAAGAAAGAGTTAGTAATAATTATCTCTGTATGGTAAGATTATAGTTTTCATTTTCATTTTTGCAGATTCTGAATTTTAGCCATTAGAAAATAGCTCCACAGGACAGGCATGGTGGCTCACGCCTGTAATCCCAGCACTTAGGGAGGCCGAGACACGTGGATTACCTGAGTTCAGGAGTTCGAGACAAGCCTGGCCAAGTGAAACCCTGTCTCTACTTTAAAATACAAAAATTAGCTGGGTGTGGCGCCATGTGCCTGTAGTTACAGCTACTTGGGAGGCCGAGGCAGGAGAATTGCTTGAACCTGGAAAGCTGAGGTTGCAGTGAGCTGAGATCGTGACACTGCACTCCAACTTGGGCAACAGAGTGGTACTTCGTCTCAAAAAAAAAAAAAAAAAGAAAAGAAAATAGCTCTACATTTGAAACCAAAACGTACTTATTGAAAGATTCTTTGCGTATGCTTAAGGCTCTTCACTAGGATAGTATTTCATAACAAATATCTGGAAAAAAAGCCAATTGCTTATCAATTGGGAAATGATTTATTAAACTGTGAAGTATTCACAAAATGGAACTTTATGCATTTCTCAAAAATGAATAGAAAATGTTTACATTCGTTATTATAAAGGAGCGCCAAGATATGTTGTTATGTGGAGAAAGCTGGGTGAATAAAACTGTGAATAGTATGCTACCATTAGTCTAATAAATGGTGATAAATATTTTATAATACTCTTTAATATGGTAATATTAATTATATACATTTTTCTTACAACAAAAAACGTGTAATTACATCCAATGGGTCAAAACAATAATTAAAATAAGCTCTATAAATTATGTAAAATGTCCTGTCCTTAATAAACATTAAGAATGGCATAGTCCACACAGAGTCTTTACAAAATTTTCAATACTTTTAAAAAAGCAAATGAGAAGACTTGGGAGATGGTAACAATATCTGATTGTACTCACTTGTCCTTCATGTTTTGGGAGATATGCCCAAATTCTTTTCATGCTCATTTTATTATGAAACACTATTCCACTGAATCCCCCATCTTGACCCACCATCCATAAAAATAGGCACATTTGAATGAGTAAATGGAGTGTTGAGAAGTCAAGTTTCCTCCAAAGACTGTATTTCTCCATTTACTACTTTCATGGCAATGTCTGTGATATCCTGGCTATAGAATTTACATGAGAAAAAAAAAATCTGGTTTACAACACATTCAGACACAAACTACTCCAGTTTTATTATTCCAATAAAAGCAAAGGATTGTTGATTCTCTGTTTTCCTCTCTCACTAGGGACTACATTTTGCTATGGCTGCATTTGCTGTGTATGTAGAATTCTGCGCATTACTCAGAACTTTCTGGACTCTTATAAATTGAAGTCCTGTGGCCATAAATAGAATAACAGTAGTCTGAAGAAGGAGCATTAATTTCACCAGACTGTCAGCACAACCACAAGCCTGTCCCTTCAGGGAGCTCACATAAAATGAAGCACCAAGTACAAAGATTTCTGTGTTGCTTTTCCTCCTTAGTTTTTAAGACTGAGGTGCACGTGGAATATGTCAGAGGAATAATGATTATCAGCAGTATAACAAAAGGACAGAAGTTGGTAGAATCCGCAAATGAATGCACTACTAAGCATATCAGGCAGGAGAGTACTTAAAGTTTTTTTATACAGATTAAGCAACTCTAAATAAAAATCTGAAATCCGCAATGCTCCAAAATCAGAAATTTTTTGAGTGCTAAAATGATGCACAACTGCAAAATTCCACATCCGATCTTATGTGATGGGTCATGGAAAAAAACAGTCAAAACTTTGTTTCATGCACAAAATTATTTTCAAATATTGTATAAAATTACCTTCAGATTATACATATAAGGTATATATGAAACATAAACAAACTCTGTGTTTAGACATGGGTCCCATACCCAGAATATCTCATTGTGTATATGCAAATATTCAAAAATCCAAAGAAATTCAAAATCTGAAACACTTCTGGTCCCAAGAAGTTTGGATAAGATACATTCAAATTGTAGTAAGTTTCTTCCTTTGAAAAGCAGAATGTTAGATTAAAATAAACTCCTGTCAGTTCATGAATACCATTGGTAAACAAGGTAACTCAGATAGGTGGATTAAACAATGGAAAGAAAAGTAACCTGGGTGAAGTTCTGGCCATGTTCCCCCAAAGTTTCAGAGAGATGGACAAGCACGTAAGTACAATGATAAATAGGATTGTGCAAATGGGCTCATTAAGAAGCAAGTGTGCAAAGATTAATGGTTTTGAGGAAGTTGTTTAAAACTATATTTGTTTCAATAGCAAATTCTAATATAAAGCCATTGTATTGTTAACAATATATGTTCAGGAAGATTCTCATTAAAATTTTCCCAAACTTAGATCCATATTACTGTATAAGAAATAAAAACAAATGCTTTTTGTGCCTGTTTATATTCCCTTGTCCTTACCATGCTGAGCACCTAGGCCCTGCATTTCTTTATGTAAGAACTTCTCTGGCTAGATAATCTCTGTTGTCCTCCTTATAGCAAGTTAGAAGTTTTGGAGAAATAACAAATACTAGGGGTACCTACAAAAATTAAAAATTAAAAAAAAAAAAAAAAACCAAAAAAAAAAAACGACCAGGGGAGACATTACTAGTTAGTCGGGGGTTGGTGTATAACTAAGCTAGCTCCCTCACCCCTTGTGTGTGATGACTCTAAGATGTGTACCCTACATTTCTTCTTGGAGTTGCCCCAGGGGATTGACGTCCAGTCACCCACAGTGATAGCTGAATTAATAAGGTACCCTTGTCCCAATCCCCATCTACCAGTGTTGTTCCTTCACATGCTCCTGAACCTCCCCAGAAGCCTCTGCTCCTTGGGGAGCAAGAGCTAAAACAGAAATTATCATTAACTCGCAAATATTATGAAATAAGCAACTTTATAAATATCTAACTTTTTATGTTCTGGCCTTCGTGCAGAAAAGAGGAGTCAGCAGTCATCTATGCGCAATGTGGCTGATGTAACAAAAGACCTCTCCTTTTCGGTTCTCGTACAGTGTGTGACATTGCTACTCCAGGGTCTCTCAGAAACACATGCTTCATTGGTGAGGAATGACATTACCTTTCTTGAGTAAAAGATAAATTTAGTATAAATCATCATTATTAATTAGCTTGCAATAATAATGGCAGGTACCATTTATTCAGCACTTACTATGCTCTGCATTGTGTGCTAAGTGCATTTATCTTACCTCTGAGATAGACACTATAATCTGTATTATAATCAGGTACTAGAATCAGGAAATATAATCCCCATTTTAAAGATGAAAAAAACTGAGAGCCTAACTCACGTGAAGTCACACTGCTAGTAAGGGGCAGATCTGGGCTTGGAAGCCAGGATTGCTTGAATTGGATGCCTGTGAGTGTCCATAATTAAGTGTCACCATCCATCATTGTTAGAGAGATCAGGATCCTAAGGGAGTTAACAGAAGACATGGAGAGTTTTTAAAATGTCAATGCCTAGGGGATCTTTACTGACGGCAAGAAGGAGGAAAGAAACATTGAAATCCTAGAGCCTGGTCTTGGTTTAGTGACCCCTCTGACCTTACACTTTGTCCCTTGGCCATTCACTGCTCAATTTGACCAGTTCAATCAACAGAGGAATGAAAAAGAAATAAAAATCAACTTGGAAATTAGCACAACTTTTACTGTGGGAACTGGTTTACATTTTTGGCTAAAATTAAGCTTGGGATTGTTTGTGAAACTCAATGAAGCAAGAGTTGGCAATGTGTACAGGCAGAGTGTGTTCTCCCATGCTGTCCACACATGATTTCCTAACAATCAAAAGAAAATGCTTTATCTGTTAGTAAAAGTTAGCAAAGTTTCATAACTTCCTGTAATTACTACTCTGAGAGTTCACAATGGTTATTTTTTTCACATGAAATTGTTAAATGAGGGTTGCCCGAGATTTCACTTAAAATTTTGCACTTGGAAGAATAAAAGGGGAAAAATGGGAAGCCAACAGAATAACAACTCTAGAAGTGAAGAACTAATATTTAAAGAGTGAAAAAGTAGGATCTATATATTGACTAAAATGCCCCTCCTCAGCAAACATAAGGATACATACTCTACACAGAGTTCTAAGAAGTTCACAGCGAGCTTACATTTGCGGAATGCCTACCATGTCTTCAACCAATTGTCCATTATTATTACATTTAACCTTTCTAGGAATCCAGTAGCATTAGTATCACTAATCCTTTCTTATTAATAAGGAAAAAGTCATGAAACCTGAATTCATACCATTTTCAAATTCATTGGTTTGTTTTATTTATCCTTTCTTATACTAAACCTTTGCAAAACTAGGCAAGAATTCATTGCTTCTATAAAGTATGTGAGATCCTAACATGAACAAACTGCTACAGTAGTAGTAAGAGTAAAACTCCAAAGGGACTTGGAATTTTTCATGTTATTTGAGCAAAAGTTTTGTTTAAAAAAAATGGCCAAACGTGCTTTCAAAATGAGAAGGTGAGTAACCCAGCAGTGGGCAATGAGAGACTCTCACCAGCCTATAAGAGCAGTGATAAATAGCAGACATTGCTTAGCTGTTATGAACAACCACATCAGGAATGTTTCTGCTTAGGCTCCTGTGCCTGACGATTGTTATATGAATATACAATAATCTGCCTTGTATTTTTTTTTAATTTGCATGCATCTTTTTACTTTGCTAGATTTTAAAATGTAGGGCTGGGGTGGGAGGTAGGTAAGAACAGTTTTTTGTTTGTGTTTTTAAAAGTTTTTTATGCTTCCTCCTTTTTAGCCATAAGATTTAGGACAGTCACTTGCAGAGAAAATGTGTTTAAAATATAATTGAACTCTAACTATATGCAAATCCTGAAATACCTGGAAATTCAGAAACTACCTATATTAATTGGAATTCAAAAAAAAATCTAGCAGGAAATTACTGCGACCACCTACATCCATATATGGGTTTAAAAACTGTTAGTCATTGCTAACAGCGAATCCCAAATAACCCAGAACAGAGTGACTCTTGCTAGCTAGTTCTACAGTAATAACTTTTCAAAGAATAAGAGTAAGACAGCCCTATGCAATATTTTTAAAGCAGATTTTTCCTTATGACAAACAATTGTAAAAAGTTTGTCTTTCTACAATAGGACCTGTTCCTCTCAAAACAGTAGAGAAGTTTGTTACATAGCCAAAGGCTTCCATGAATGATTTTGGGGATGTGAGTTGGAAATGAAAGAGAAATATAGTTCCAGATTTGGGTGAAAATGTATGTGACAAAAAGATGACATAATCTATCAAAATGTAACGAAAAACAGATATCAGAAGCAAAGGCAACTAATACAGCCATGCCACCCCCTTGCACACCCCTTTCCCTCAACACACAAACCTGCCTCACTCTCCAGAGGCTGTCTTGGCTGACACAGAGGATGCATTCCATACATGTTTCAAATACCAAAGATCAGGAAGCAAATCCGAGTGTTCACTGCATAAGTGTTCCTGTAATTTTGTGGTATTTTGAAGAAACCACTGTGAAGCAACTTGATTCAACTATTGCTTTAAAACTCAAACACTGGTCATGTTGACCCTGTCTACAGTAATCAGTGTCTGAAAAATAATGGATAAACATTTTACTATTTGCTTTTAAAGAACAAAACAAGAATAGTATTTCCAATCTAGCTAAGAGGGGACAAACAGAAAAGATAAATAATTCAAAGGTTTGTCTTAGGATAAACAAAAATAAATTTGAAATTATTGATCAAATCATTGAAATTATTATTATGTACAGCTTCAGTCTCCACCTAGTTCACTGATGTTACCCATTTCTCTACCAAGGGCACATTTATAAAACTGAAGAATGACTGTATAAATAAAGTATGTTAAGCTTTCTTGCATGCTAATTTTAATCTTTGCAATAATCCTGTGAAGTAACATGATTTATTTTACAAATAAGTAAATTGAAACACAAGAAAACTAAGTCATTTACCCAAGATCATAGTCAATAAATGAATCTGGACCCTAAATCTTAGCTCGATGGAAATAAATTGGCACGCTTTTCCCATTCCCCAGTTTATAGGATATCTATTTGCCCATGACTTGGGCTGTTTATTAGATATAGGACATCATCAGAGGCTTCCATGTATGCATATGCATTCATAAATGACATTATTCCTCAAGCAAGAAACCACCTTAAAATATCTTTCTAACTATCCAGAGAAAATTATATTCATGAATCTGAGGTCTATGTATTAGTCTGAAGTTGCTCTGTACAGCATCACACATCACGATTATGCATTTTCAAGGAATGTTTTCTGATGGGTATTTGTCTTTAATTCATTCTAAAATTTGGGAAAAAAATGAAAAGAAGAGTATTGTATTTTTATCAGATATCATAATGTTGGTTTGCCATAGAGAAAAGTATCTCAGTAAAAGACCAATTTAGTCTCCATGTAAATTATGCAGAAGTATCTTAGCCATTAAACAGAA